TCTCTGTCAAATAAATAAATAAAATCTTAAAAAAAAAAAAAAAAAAGAAAGAAACAGTAGCGCCGTTGTTCTGGTGGCCTTCTGTGGTGTTAACTCTTTATTCCAACCTTGCGTGACCAGACGACAGTGATTGGGAATGGGGAGAAGGCACACTAATATCCAAATAAATCTTCTGTGGGTTTTTTTGGATGATTTTATTCTTTAAGTCATCTCTGCACCCAACGTGGAGCTCAAACTTACAACCCCGAGATCAAGAGTCACATGCTCTACCAACTGAGCCAGCCTGGTGCCCCCCCCCCACAAATAAATCTTTATCCAGTATAATACCATAGCATGGTTTTTCAGTAATTTAACAAGTGTCCCTTTTGATGTGTGTCTTTTGCATTTCCTTAGTAATTTTCAAATTTCAGAATACATGACAGGTTGTCACTATAAACAGTCCTGATAAATCTATACATGTCCCCCAGAAACTGTTTTACACCATCCTCTAATAGAAATTGTTTAGAGGCCTTTCAAGGGGACACTTTGAAGGAGTCTGTGGACGAATGAGTGAATGACTTGGATTCTCGTGCTGGCTCAGACCGGCTGTGTGCTCTCGGGCAAATATTCTGCTTCCCGGAGCCTCAGTCTTCTCATGTGTAAAACTGTATAAAAAATTTTTTTTTGCCAGGTTGAAATATTCACTTGAAAAATTGAAACCACAGATGCAATGTATTATACAAAGAAAGGTCTTAATACCATAATAAAGGTATTGTTGGAAGGAAACAAAGCCAGTGGCTACCTGCCCTGGGAGGGAAGGCACTCAGTGAGAAATGAAATCCATTTCTAGGAACTATTCTAATGGGAAATTTAGGAAAGGGTCGAAAACAGAACAGAAGAAAAATAAAGCCAACCTATCCCTGCAAACCTAAATGTGAGAGTTTGTTATAAGTTATCAGCAAGATTTACCTGAACCCCGTCCATTTGTTCCTAGAAATACTAATCAGCTTCATTTAGGGCCTTCAAACCTGAGGTAGTTGAGGGTCACCTGAAAGACGTGTCTGGACATGATCTGCTCTCAGAATCACCCCAATGGCATCTAACCCATGATTTCCCGTTGCTTTGGCTCCTGGGGGCGAGAGGCTGTGCCACCACTGTGAGTTGCTGATCCTGCATTTGGTCTGACCCTGGGAGACGGAGGGGACATTTGCAGCCAGCAGCTGGCCCGGTTTGCTGTGGTGAAGGCGGGCAGGCCCTCGGGGGTGGTTGTCTATGCCACAGGAAGGGTGGTCTCTGGAGGACCGAGGATGGCAGAGGGAGGCCAGAGCCGGTCTAGTGGAAAGGCCAGTGCCAGGATCCAAGGCTTTCATTGGCAGGAGGGATTTCCAGAGACTTGTGAAGGTGGTAGAAGGCAGCAAGAACTTTACCAGCTGTTAAAGACCAAGGTAAGTGGAGGCAGTTGACCCCTCGAGACTAAGGAGCTGACCAAGAAGTGAGCATTTCCCAGGTGCAAGCTCAGACCCAGCTCCTCCTCAGTGAGAGGCCGAAGCAAACCAACCTGACTGAGTAAAGGACATGCACTGTGCCCCCTGTGGTACCTGGTAAACCTTGGTGTTGACTTAGCAGCTCAAACACTTCCAAGAAAGGATGTTCTGGAGGTAGGTAATGATGCCGATGAAGACAGTAGCTAATACTGACTGAATGCTTCTGAGGCACCAGGCAGCCTTCCAAGTACTTCATCCATATTTACTCCAGTAACCCTCCCACCAGCCCTGTCAGGGGGGTACTGTCATCACTGACCCCATTTTGCAGATGTGAGAAGGCAGACACACAGGTAACTTGCCAAAGGTCCCCCAGGTGGTAAGTGGTATAGAAACCATTATTCTAACCACTGATTCCTGCCGCTCACTTCCTCCCTGCCGACAGTGGATGACTTCTGATGCGCTATCCAGTGGCGGCTTAGGGCATGTCAGGACCCCAGTGTTTCCAGTGAAGTCACCCCACTCATCTATACTCATACTCTGACAATAGCAGGTCAGGCCCACTCAGGCTGCTCATCCCTTCTGTGACGTGTGGACTCTCCTCAGGTGGCTGGGGGTGAGGAGGGTACGTGCTAGAGCCCTCCTTGGCTCCCAGGAACTTCTAGTCCTGCTGCTCTGTGAGCTCATGGCTGCCCGCTGGGTCTCACATCCTGACTCAGAGCTGCCGATGAAGGAGCCGAGAAACTCCATGCCTCTTCCAAGAGTTCAATTTAAAACGACTTGTTATTATGGATTCAAACATGAATGAAGACAAGCTTTTTCTCGAGAAGGCAGAAATGGCCGTGCAGAAAGCTGGGAGATGGGTATCCTCTAGCTGCAAAACAGTATGGTTTATTCTTCTAAAAGCCAGAGCAGACCTCTGGATTCAGAACTGTCTAGATGCTTAACGGAATCAAAGACTCTCCCAAGAGGCAATTCTGAACATAAAACGATTCTAGGCAGTGCGGATTCTTGGTAGCATTCATGTGTGTGGAAATATCTGCAAGGGCTTAATAATAACAGTATTAATCATAAAATAGCAATGGGATAACCACAGTTTTTGTTTAACATTTGCTGCTTCCCAGGCCTTGAATGCTGAGAACGTTGACATATTATCTATTTAAACCACTCATCAACCCTATGAAGAGGAAATCAGAGCCACGGTACACATGAAGAACTTGGAAGTGTACAGTTGTTTTCTTGGTGTCTGCCCAACCTACGTGAATCTTAGAGTAATTCTTGTCAATCACTTGGCAGTGAGTTACTGGCAAGCACTGGCAAGTTCCAGATTTTTATTGGTCAAACAGACTTAAAACTCTGGTTTTTAATCTAGTAAAAGTTGGTGTACCTTTTTTTTTTTTTTTTTTAAAGAGAGCTCGTGAGCGAGGGGAGGGGGAGAGGGAGTGAGAAAAAGAGAGAGAATCCTAAGCAGGCTCCATGCCCTGCAGGGAGCCCAACTCAGGGCTCAAGCTTACGACCCTGAGATCATGACCTGAGCCAAAATGAAGAGTCAGACGCTTAACGGACTGAGTCACCCAGGCGCCTCTAGTTGGTACACTTTCTAATGGAGCCTATGAAGATACTAGAACTTTGGGGGAAAGTCTTCTTGTGAAGAGTACAGATGGTTACACAGAGCTTTTGCTCTAAGATCACTTGTATCACGCATTGACTAAAGAAGGGAAAAGCTGCAGGATCTGGGAGCCAGTGCGTCGTGGCTGCATCTTTGTGTCGTAAATTTTGTTCGGCAGTTTGGCTTTTATTCTTTCCCCGAGGGTGGCAGTGGAATTGAGTAGCCGTATCGGGAGGGCTGGGTACATGTCGAACAGAGGTTCTCCACGGGGGATGTCAGACACGGGATGAGAGAGGTGGGTGTAGATGGAGAAAGCCTCCATTGCTTGAAAGAATTTTTGCAATTCTATATAATCTTAAAGGAGGGCATGAGCTTTCCTGTGCTGACCAAAAGGGTTTAAGAGTTTAAGAGTAAGAGTAAGCAGCTCCAGTGACTTCACCGTTCCGGCATGATCTCTATGCTGTAATTCTGTGCATTCGTGTGAAGTGAAATGTTGCTAAATTTTAAAAAAAACTTGTGTTAAAACGATGACGTGTCAATTCAATTTTTAAAGTTCTGCCTTTGAGAGAGCAAAAGCACATGCACCATAGGGCAACTTCATGGCTTTTATCTTTACTTCTGGGATTTATTTGTACCTTCGGATTGCCAGTGATTGGTGGTCATGGGAGAGCAGATTGTTTCAATTCTTGGTCCTTCCCTGAGGTCGGTACTTATACTCCCCTGTGCTCCACTAAGAAAGAACAGCACTGATGTGTATCTCAGAGATAACCCAACCTGAAAACCGTCTGGCCTTTGGGGAGAATTAAGGGTGCTCTGGGGCAGAAGGTAGACATCAAAGTTTGGAAAGGGCTGGCTCTAGATTTTCTTCTAAGCACACCCGGCTAGAAATGCAAACACTTAAAAAAAATTATCCTCACCGCTCTATTCTAACAGAAGTTGCGGCAGGTCGGTTTTGCTTGCTGGTGTCCTTCAGTAGCTCTGTCAATTATTCCCCCACTTGGATTAAGGGGAAGAGAATACAGGCAGTTAATATATAAACTCATCACAGTAAATTTGTCCTGAATTTTACCAAAATATATTCTTGAGATACAGAATTGTGTGTCCCAGGATTCCATTTTTAACACTATTAGTTTCTAGAAGGTACCCAATCGATCGAACAAATAGCATTTCTCGAGTTGGTGCTCCAAGTCGGGCACCATAGTGGGTGCTCCTGGAAATATACAACACAGTGGCTCAGTTCCTAACCTCACTCACCTGGTTGTGTGCTATCAAGATGACAAGATGGACACCTGCAAAGTGCAAGACAGATGGAAACTACAGTCGGCAAAGTGCTAAAAGTGTAGCAGTATTGATGGCTTGGTTTTATTTTAACTCTTTGATTTTCATTCTTTACTCTCAGGGTTTGAATACCAAAGAGCTCTAGACACTGGCTGTTAGGCGTGCACAGAGTCCTGGGGTTTGTGGCAGATGGGATGGTCCACTCTGATTCCTCTACATTTGGATGATGTTAATAAAATCATTTTTCAGGGGGGACTTCACAGTTTAGAGTATCAGGTCAGGCCCAAGTCGGATACACAAAATAAAATGAATTAAACCAAGGAAAGCTAACTGATACAAGTTTATGGCATGGTATAGTCAAAAGGTCTTGGCCTGTGAGTCAGGGCTTTCGTTTTAGTTCTGTCTTGGTCACTTAGAGACTGTGGGACTTGGGTTAACACTTAATTTTCTCTGGATCTGCTGCTTCATCGTGCAAAGGGGCATGCTGATCATGGGGCCCTACTGGGGTTCTTACAAGTATTCAGTGGAGTCTACGAATGAAAATACTTCATAAAAAAAACTGTAAAGCACATTACAGATGTGATGGTATTTTAATCTTCCTTGTTACATAAAATTCAGGCACCATTTTCTTCCTCCTGCTGTCTCCAATGGTTATGTAATAACATTTCTTCATTCTTTTCTGCTTGTGTTTTGAGGTCCTCCCTGAAAACACACCCTAGTGAAAGATGAGAGTCACCCCTGTTACCCCTCATGCCCCTCCTGTCAGTCTCGTCCCCTCCATGGATAGTCACTCATGATTTCTCTCACTGTTGTTTAGTTTAGGTTTTTGCAATTTAAGTGAATTAAGAAGAAACAACATGCCAATATTACGTTATTCCCGTTGTGTAAGGAGGGACCCTGGTGCAATCCCAGACTCGATTTTTTATTTACTATATCATTTACTTAAAAAAGTTTTTATGACCACCCTCTAGCATTGTGGAAGGTGTCTGTTTCCTGTGTCTTTGACCCTCAGGCTCTTTGTCCTCTCCAAAAGAAGATGTTGACAGGTGGACACAGTGTGACGACTCTTCCTGTGTTGTATTGTCCAAATTTTCCCATTTCTTTCCCCACAGCCAAGCCCCCATTCTCAGGTTGGTGGTGTCCCTGCTGCAGGACCAGAAGCCACCATTGGCTGAGCTGGCAAGTCGGAAGAGGGGTGGTATTAGACCAGATTTGGCAGATGCTCAGTGTAGGTGTGAGGGTGTTCCAAGGATCCAGCCAACCCCATTGGATTTGAAGAGAGAACCACCTCGAATGGTCCGTAGAGTAGAGTGAGTTCTGCAACGGGCCAGATTGCTTGAGGAGAGTGTCTTCATTTACTTGAGGTCACGTGGCATCAAGCCTCACCTGTGGTCAAGGGCCTGAGCCACATTTGGGGGAGGAGCCAAGGGAAGGGTCTGGCCTCCCGGGGGTTGCCAAGTGCTGCACCCACTCCCAGGTCACCCCAATCAGGTGGCCAGGACTTCCTCGTGTACTCTGGTTCTGCCTCCTTGAGGGGGGTCTCCCCAGGGCCCCTCCTGGGCAAAGGGTTGTGCTGGTGACAGGGCTCTCTCAAGAGGCGGTGACTTGGTCTTCCATCAGAACCTTCTGGTGCCGCACAGACTGGAGTGTTTAACCGAGGCTTCATAGTCTCTCCCTTATTCCAGGAGGAGAGGGATGGCCCAGCCTCTAAGGGGCAGGCATGGTGTAATCGACGGTCACCCTGCTCCCAGCTTTTTCTGAGCATCTATTCTCCTGGCTCTTGCTGACAAGATGGGGCACGGGGACATGGTCCAGGCCCCATCACTGTTGTTGGCATCGGAGAGGTCACCTGACCTGAGGTCGGCCCCTCAGGTTCCATCCTCCACGAATTGGCAGTCAGTATGCAGGGCTGCCTGTCAGTCTTGGCTGGATGTGTGAATCTGGGAGGTGCTCTGATGGGAGGCTCTTGTCACTGTAGAGACAGGTCCTCTGCACCGAAAGGGAGGGATGTGGTCGGTGTGCAAGAGAAGCACACTCCAGAGCCCTTGCTGTGGGCAGCGGGAGAGCCTAGCTCTCC